CAAATAAAGCTTCTTTAATGACAATTTTGTGAATAAATTACCAGTGACTAAATCTAGTTCAAGTATCAGTGTTGTAGTCTTTAAAGCAACAAAGCAGGTCTTGTTAAGAAAGGCTGAAAAAGAGTTGAGCGAAGCGTGACCTGTGGTTGGTGCTATAACACCGAGAGCTGCTGAGCTAAACAGAGTGGGGCTATTTTAGGTCACCTGTGATAAATTTTTTTTTAGGGTCTTCTAGGAGGAAATACTCTTGTGATCATTTTCTACACGAGCTGCCAATCCAAAAAGGTAGTAATTTGCTGGATTTAATAATAAATGCAGGTCTTGTGAAACAATACTGGCTACTGAAAGTGAATTAAAATGGGGTTGGTACTGCTTATTGTAAATGGCCAAGTGTATGTCTGTTACAGCAGAAATTCTTAGCTAACAATACTGCTTACATTCTTTAGTGCTCGGTCTTCTCCTTAGCTGCTCTAATTGCCTATCAGGGAAAGAATTGCAGCTTGTTGAAACTTGATAGCTCTTACACATTTTCCACTTTTCTCTCAACGATGTCAAGATTTCATTATCCAATATCACAGTTTACGGTCACAAGTCAGGGTTTTACCTTCAGTTTGAATTTCAGATGAAGCAGTTATTTGTATCTGTGTTTAGGTCATTTTCAAATGAAGCAGTTATTTGTATCTGTGTTTAGGTCATTTTCAAATAAAATAGAATAGTGAAATAATTACTAAGCCCAAGCTTATCTACTTTTGACTTATTTTTGATTAAAAATATTTGGACCTGTTATTTGACTTAAAGATTATTTTGACTAAAGATATTTGGGTCTGTTAATAAACATGTTCTTTCACCACATTAAGAAACTGTACTATGAAGAAACATACAGCTCTGGAAATTGAAGTGGTACATTCATAAACGTGCTAATTTACAAAATGCTGATATGTGACAGTTCACAATTGTTGACTTCCTCATTTTCACTAGAAATTTAGGTTACTAATGGCTAAGAATGCTAATCAACACATCTAAGTCTAAAATACTAGAAACAATAAAGATGGGATGCAATCTCAAAAGGCCTGAAAGAAATAAAAGACGTGTTTTTGTTAAGGAAATAAGAACAACAATTTTGTCCTCAAGTAGTTGCACAGAGGTTGCTTAAAGGTTGTTCCAGAACGAGGATGAGGAAAGGATGAAATCCCACAGGGGCACAAAGTTGTAAAGGGTCTGCAGAAGAGGGCAGGGGACAGAGGGGAGAGGGGAGAGAAAGAAGGGGGAATACCTTATTCATGTGGGCAAACTGACTAAGATTGAAAGTGTTTATTTACAATCTTTTTTTTTTTTTTTTTTAACAAATGAGGTCAATAGTATATGGATGCAAAACTAGAGGTAAAATTCCCTGTTAAAAGGACACAGTTTCTTGGATTATTGGAAATTTGTAATGCCATAGCTGTCCATGTCCTGGTAGAATGTGATCAATGGTGACTCCAGTTATCTTAAAATGTTAAATATCACAGAGACAACTAAATTTCCTTGTCAACTACATTATAAAGAACTCTCATCAAATCTTTAACCATGGCCATTTAAAGCCTTTTGTCGCTCACATATATTATCTTACTCTGATGTTTTCCTGAAAATTCTTGTAATCAGCTGCAAGTTTAATCTTCAACAAAAAAGGATTGTCTCAGGGATCCACAGTAAGATTAGAGCATGTACTCTGGGGTACAGGTTTCTGATGTCATTGTTTAGGTAATTTTAAGATCATACCCTGGACTAATGATTTCTAGAACAAACAGAAAAGTTCATAGGTTTATAGAACGCCAAATCAAGAAAAACCCAAATTTATCACATGGCACTGAGTAGATTGATAAAGAATGATTATGATTTCTTTTATGACCTTTGCTCAGAATATTGCTGGTTCTTTAATGTTTCATTTTCTGGGTTTAAGAACCCTCCTTCTCTTAAGCTATATATACTTATAGCAATTTAGTAAGTTATGCCTTTGTAAACAAAAACAAAACATTTATCTTTTCTCCCTGCCTGATCCATCCAAAATTTGGAAACCCTCCTGAATGTTATTTTCATGGCAATATAGTTATTTGAGTAAGTTCAGCAAGAATTTGTTCTTCTTATAACAGGACACAATTAGAAACACTGGTTGTATTAGGTTATATATATAAACACTGGTTATATTTGGCTTTCACTGGAGTGTCATGTATGAGAACGGTATGCATAGCATCAGAGATGCCCAAGCTTAAGAAACAAAGGTGGACTTTAAGGAACCTTCCTGGAAAACCCACCTGGCACCTGGCTTACAGAATTCCTAGCCTTACAGGTGAGTTAGGAAAGCTACCTCCTGGCAGGCCCAGGAGGGTTGGGGACCTCAAGAAGGAATTCATCCGAATCTGTGGGTACTGCAAGTGAAGTCTGATGGTAAATTCTGCTAGCCTTGAGCCTTTTAAAAGTCCAATCTGAGAATCCTAATAAAAGTTCCAGCAAAACAAACTTAAGAAGGCCTATGTTGTCAATTACCATCCTTGCTACATTTACATAAACAATCAGGCCAAGTTTAATGAGACGATTTGTTTTGCAAGCAAAAATAGTCATACCTTAATTATCTTTGATACAAGTGGGGGTGATTTTAGAGAAATTTTGTTTCAATGGAAACCTATAACCCACCATTGTGGATTATCAGATTCTAGTCCTGTTCATTGTCTTTGAGCTATTTTCACCTCTCTGAAAGCCGAATCCTGCCATCTTGTGCATTTTGTCAGTAACCTTTCCAACTTTCTTCTATCCTCCTGACTTGGCACCACTAAGAACTAGAACTGCCTGTTTCCTAAAGCCCTGCAAGCTGAAGGGACCCTGAAAGGCTTTCTCTCAACAGTCTGGACCACTCAGGAAGTTCACCAGAACATGGTCCTCTGAGCTCCAGGAAATGCCCATGACTGTGACATTGCCACTGCCATTGTGACTCTGCCATTTCATCTAGAAATCATTTGGACTGACTGCTTTCTGAACTCAAGAAACTGAGTTTATAATCTGCTCCAACTACTAGTTTTTTTCCTTTCTTTCTCCATAAATCTATGCCTTCTTTCCCTTTGCATCTCTCTTACCTCTCAGCTTCTAACCTGAATCCTTTCTCCATAGCCACTATCTCAGCTTCTGCTCCTTGATACACCTTGGGAAGTTTTAAATGGGGAAATAAAGGGGTCCAGAACACACCACTGTGGCATAACAATTATTTTGAGCTAAGGGCATTTGAGAGTCAACAGATGCAGGAAGAGGCTTTTCTGAACTCCCCTTATCTGCCTAAAAGGAGAACCTCTCCCAAGAGCTCAACTGTTACAAATCCTCTCCCTGGGACTTTTGGTACCACAACTAAGCAGACATTGTCACAAAACCGTCATATCTCCCTTTTTTCTCCTAGGAACCCCTTTATCCTTTCTGAAAGACATTTGTTTTCCCCTAAGTGCCCTTTCTCCCCTCCCCTTATTAAGATGGCATATTAGTCTTGAATTCTGCCTCGTTGAGTCACACTTTTGTGTACAGATGTGAATAAAAAATCTACATTTTCTCTTGCTAATCAGCTTAATTCACAGCCCCTAACTACTGGATTTAAGAGTGTAGAGGAGAGGTTTTTTCCTCCCCAAAAGGAGGAAATGTTAAGTCAAGCAACATGCTCACATAAACCTCAGCAAACTGCCAACTTCTCATTTAGCAACTACAGTTAGACATTTAAAAGTTTCCTTATTCTTAAACGAAGTCCAACAGTTTAAAAAACAGCATTTTTTAACCCACTCAGATGGGTTGTGACTTTTTTTTCCACTTTATAGCCCCCTCTACAAAAAGTTTAACTTTTAGCCAAATTTTACTCATTATTTCTGAATATTTACAGCATAGTTAATAAGCTGTAATTTTAGACATTGAAAAATAAGACAAAGTCATTAAACTATATTATGGCACTGATTTAAGATGCAAAATATAAGACACAGGTAGATCTATAAATTGCCACATACTTGCAAATTCCAATTATAAATGACTCTCTTTCAAACATCAGTTTAATATAAATACTTATCTAGTAATGCATCATAAACCACAGGGTTAAAATAATTCCTTCTGTCATGTAAATGTGGAATTGAGAGCTAAAACTGTTCAACTTAGCAAAAATTATTTTTTTTCAAGAGCAAAGTAATACGGAACCCAGAGGACTCATAAGAAAACCTTAAGCTAAGTCATTATACTTTAAGGGGCACTGGCTAAATTCTGAAGGAGTTGGCATTAAAACAACAACATAGTTTTGGGGCACATGGCTGGCTCAGTCAGTAGAATATGTGACTCTTGATCCTGCGGTTGTAAGTCTGAGCCTCACATTGGGTATAGAGACTACTTAAAAATAAAATCTTTTTTAAAAAGATTTTTAAATCTTTAAAAAAAAAAAGATTTTATTTATTTATTTGACAGAGAGAGAGAGCAGAAGCAGAAGCAGGGGGAGCAGCAGAGGGAAAGGGAGAAGCAGGTTTCCCACTGAACAGGGAGCCTGGACCCTGGGATCATGACCTGAGCAGAAGGCAGATGCTTTAACCAACTGAGCCACCCAGGTGCCCCCAAAATAAAATCTTTAATAAAACTTATTTTTTTCAGGTATTTAAAGATTTTCATGTGTTGTGTACTTATTCTTTTCTTGACCCCAAAAAACTTTCTTAGTGTAAGGAAAGCCTAGTTTAATAGTCCTGGAAATTGTGCATTTAGGGGAAATCACATTATTTTATCTAATTCTACTATACCAAATACCACTATTTGGGGTTCTCATTTTAAATTATTCAAAAATGAATGTTTCTCATCAATTTTTCACCAATCATCAATTTATACTATATCACAAGGATAAAAGAGATTACTTCAGGTGTTGGCAACGTTTCATGAAAGCACCAAGGTGGGAAGGGGTGGGTAGAGTGACCAACCAGGTTAGTACAACCACCTTTCATATAGTTTTTCTTAAAAAAAAAAAAAAAAAAAAAAAAAGGCAAGTTGCTTTCAATTTTCTGTGAAAATGAGAGGATATTAAGATGTGCAAGCAAACTGCTTCTTTCATATCCTCTTAAGGTATCAGTATTTTCTGAAAGGTATTTTGGTATAGGGCTCACAGAGGAATGCCTTCCATATCAGATGATATGTAAACAAACAATTGTTTGCTCAGCAGAAAACAGGTTTTTTGTATACTCTAGTTCAGGAAGTCTGCCAAGAAAATAAAGGGAAGGGGGTAGTAATCAAACCCTATAATGCCCACCCATAATCCTAGAAGGGAAAAATAAAGCCATTGAAATAAATTCGATTTAGTGATATCCTGAAGGTCAGCAGTATTTCCATAATACTCACTATGGCACAGAAACAAAGTCTGGAGTGTGCAAATACTTAGGCCGCTAGAAGGAGAGCCACATAAGAGGCACAGACTAACTCGGAGAGTTAAGAGTCTGGATTCAGTCTCTGCTTTCCTTTCAGCACTTCTAAGATCCTTTCTGCTTTCACATTGCTGTTTTTACAGCAGAAACAAGGGTCTCTGAAGAACCGGCCACAGCATTACAAGTCATCCAGTGGTGCCCATGCTTCTCCACTGAGGTGTTGAACAACCTTCTTCAAGCGACTCCAGGGGGTGGCAGCTGAACTGCCCATTCAGCAAGCTGCTGGAAAGGACCCCAGTGTCAGTGGGGGCAGCTCTCCATACCTCATCTGACTGTGATACACAGAAACTCGGTGGCACACACCTAGCTGCACTGTCAAGAAGGCTGTGTCTTTGTTGCCATATATAAATTCTTTACACAGAAGTGTATCTTGAAAGAAAAGTACAAAAAGACAATGGTGTGAAACAAATGAACTTATTTAAAAAATGTAAGATGGCACATGACATGTAGCCAGAAGTCAGAATCTTGTGGCAAAAGAACAGTCTTACGGGCTGTGTGTTGGAATGGCTTAGATTTAGATTTTCTTAAGGCACAACCAAAGTTCTTTAGATTTATTTTGGCAAGTGTTTTTCTTGCTGGAAGATCATAAAAGTAGGCAGACTTATCTGCCAAATGGCATGCTGGCACACTAAGTTAAGGAAAATAGTACTCTGACTAAAACTAAGGCTAATAGGTGAAGAAAAACAAAATTTCTATTGGTTTTAAATTTGTACCAAGGAGACTTACTACATACTGGAGAAATGATAGCAGTATTTTATACCTTTGCATAAGAAAAAAAAATGATTCTCCTTTTGAAGTTGTAGCTTCAGGATTTAATCTGAGTCAATGTCACCATGTGGTAAAAACAATCTGGATTTTATAATGCATGAGCAGGAAAAAGTTGCAAAAATACCAAATCATATGGAGCTACAAATACGGTGATACATCAGCAAAGGGGCCAAATCAGGTTTTTACTCCGGACAGGTGTTATGTTTGTGAAAAGTGATTCAATTTGTTATATGTTCAAAGCTAAATTAGAACTAGCTGCCTTACAATGATATTTCACTGCCATTTCTTAACACTTTAATTTTGGTGAGTTCTGTTACAAGTTCAAGTAAGTTAGAGCTGTTCTCAACTCATATCTATTTCCTTCAAAATATGAAGGGGCAGATATTCCCATAAGCTTTAGGTAAAAAGGATCCTGATCATTTTCGCTCTAGTTAACCTGAAATATTTCCCTGGGCATAACCATAGCCTCTCTGAAAACTGGAAAATATTTCATAATTTAAAAAGTCAGAGTATAACAATATTCACTGGTAACTTCAAATAAATTAGGCTAAGAGGATGGAATATGGGGAGTAGGCCAGACCACCAGTCATGTCTGCCTAGCCATAATACCAGTGAAACTTAAAGATCTGCAAGGATCAAAGAAAACTGAGAAACCACCCTTAACTGGCTGGAGGTATAACATTCTACAAGTGTCCTCATGGTCTTCGTAAATATTACAAGATGACCCACGCACTCTGATTGGCTGTGGCCACACACAGACACCTCAGAGCCCACTGCAAATCTGGGATATGGCAAGTATGGAACCTAGCAGCAGGATGGAGCTTGCTTATGACATACTGACTAGCACGAAGGCAGACAGTGAAGAACTATCAAAACTATTTTTCACCTTGGAAAATCATTCATGAGGTTACTATGACAAGAATATAAATCAAGGCTTACAATGCTAAGTGCCGGTTCCACAGCTGGCCATCTGGATATGGGGTTTTCTGATACTTAGCTGTTTTGATTATTTAATCAAATATTAAGCAAATATAATTCACATGCAACCCTTATCAAAAAAGGGAAGGAGGTCAATTTCCTATGATCCACACAAACTGTTAACCTGTTAAGAAAAGCCTCATTTTTCCAGCATTTGAGTATATACACACATATCATGTTTGTTTGTTTTTTTTTTAACATTTTAGAGTGAGGGTGAGGAGGAGAAGGACAATGAGATAAAGACACAAGCTAAACATCCAACATGCCCCATTCCTTATTCTCTGCGTGACTGGCAGCATTACTCAGAAAGTCACTCTTTACTCTGATGGTCATAATATATTTGAATGTGTAGATCTTTAAGGATTTCTTTATTCATTTGGCCAGGCCTATGGTAGATGCTTTTTTGTTTTCTTGGTGGAATAATTCATCAGTGCTTCCTGAGAGGCTCAAACAGGATCACTGGCCAGATTCCGAAGAGAAACTGTTTGGAAACAAGTTAGGGCAAAATGAAAGAAGGTAACTACTGCAAGTCATGCCTGAAAAAGAACCTATGGAGCTAGATGTGCTAACAACGACCCTGGTATTAGTAGCCTGAATATGGCAGTCTTTCCAGACTTGCACCAGATCTCAGAAACTATTTTTATTTAATTTATTTAAATGGATTAAACTTCTATTTTGTCAGGCATGGAGCTGGGCATTTTAATCATCTCATTCTTAAAACAACTCTGTAATGTAGCTATTGACAGCTCCATTTTATTGTTGAAAAAACTGAGGCTTAAAAAGAACAGACTTGCCCAACATCATAAAGCAGTACATGGAAGACCTGGTCAAGATTCAAAAGCATCAAAAAAAAAAAAAAAAAAAAAAAAAAAAAAGATTCAAAAGCATCTGGTTCCAAAGCTTGTACTCTGTCTACTACCTTTCCACCCCACCCCCTTCTTCCACCTGGGACCCATCCTCCCAACACCAAGCCTCTCCCAACACACCCACACATGCATGCACAGATGCACACACACCCACCTCTAGGAAGGGAACTTACCTTTACTTTTGGCCTGTATTTCAGGTAAAGAGTTCTTGTATATAAACTAAAAGAAAAGGGGAGGGAGGGAAAGCACTTCAGATTAATTTTTAATTCATACAAACTGGCCTACTGAGAAACTTAAGCACAGTGCCTCTGTATACACACAAAGAAAGCAACCCTAGTAGATTCTTTGTTCATTTAGCAACCATTTTTTGAGGAGCTACTCTATGCAGAACACTGGCAAGATGCTAAGGAAGACAAATGAATACTCTCAAACTGTGACCTCAGGATGTTTGTAGTTTAGTAGGGAGCACTCCACTCACACTTGATGATTCATGTCACAACTGCCAGTTTCATCTTTGAAGATATATGGTAGCAAGGATTAAAGTAGAGGATTCTTAGAATATTCTGGAAGTGGTTATATCAGCTCTATAAGGATTACAATACAGGTATGAGATAATCAGGAAGGTAAAGAAAGTCTTCCTCACAGTAGCTTTAGAATAAGTAACCTATGAAGATAAGACTGGATTCTAAATCAGTATACATGGCCAAGTAAATAACTTGGCTCAAGACTGTTACACAGTTAAAAAGTGATGGAGAAAAGCTCCAAGCTCAGATATTTTTACTCCCCAGTATTAACTCTTTGTTTGAAACAAACATTTGTACAGTACTTAAGTCTGAAAGGGCACATATGTTATATTGTTAAATTTTCAAATCATCCCTCTGAAATATTATTTGCATGCTTCATTCGATGAGGTACCCAAAGAATCAAAATTTCCATAACTGAAGCTTGAATATCCAAGCTTCTTTTATTTTAGTTGTTTAGGATGAAATATGTCTAAAACATATTCTATCTTCCCTGCCTCCTTAAAAAAAAGTAAAACATTTTAACATTAATAGAAAACAAAACAAAACAAAAAAGTCAAAACCCTGCCACCATATATAATAAAAATGCTTCATTTTTTTCCATATTTACTTTAACCCTTGTCCTGATACAAATTAGTTTTTACACAGGGTTAATAATTACCTACATATGATTTTAGTCTGTTTGTTTCACTTAATCCAAATATCTAAGTTGCTATAAAATTTTCATATAATTTTAAATAGCTGAGTAAAAGATATACTATAATTTATTTTATAATTCTACACTATTGTGTAATTTCTTTTTCTTCTATTATTATTGATGCTTTGCTGATTAAGAAACACTGTAATAAAAATAATTGAGTTTACACACACATTTTCACTTTTCTGGGTTATTTCTTTAGGATAAATTCCAAGGAATATAACTGGGATATTTTATTTTCACAAACACATATAGTATCAAATTTCTTTCCAAATGGGTTACATCAATTTACACTGACAAGTAATGTGTGATCGTATCATTTCCCTGCAACTAAGGAATACAGAAGGAAATTTTAAAATATTATAGAGCTCACTTAATGGATATAAAAAAAATCTCATTGTTTTATTTAAAAATTTTTCTAAAAATAGTACTTACCAGTTAACATAAACCCTTACAAAGATAATTAGGTATTTATGAGCATATATGTATATTTAGCCCTGTCTTTTTAAAAAAAATGGATATCCTACTGTTTTAGAAAGCATTTTGATTACCAATTAGATGATCAGTTTTCTATTTGCTTATTTATACCCAATATCTCAACCCCTTCCCCCACATCATCATCTGGAGGCTTGGCCTTCTCCTCTCCTTTATTTTTTTAATTTAAAAATAGTTTCAAATTTACAGGACAGTTTTAAGATTGGTATGAAGAATTTCTGTACCCTGTCTCCCAGATGCCAAATTGTTATCATTTAACCACATTTGTTTTTACACACACACACACACACACACACACACACATACGTATATCCAAGTGTATATATATCCTATGGAGTCTGTGAATGACATGATACCCACCACTTCTAAATATTCTAATATGTATCACCATATAACAAAGACAGTATCCTAAATTACTATAATACAACCCTTCCACTCAGGAAATTAATACAATACTAACATCCAAGTCAAGACTTCGTTCTAATTTTGTTGACTGTCCCAGTAATCTCTTTTTCCTTTCTGATCCAGTTTGCTATCTAGAAACAAGCACTGCATTTAGTTTTCATATCTTAATTTGTTTTTTTAACTAGAACAGTTCTTCAGTATTTCCTTGTCTCATGAACTTGATAGTTTTAAAAAGTATAAGACTTTGATTCTGTAGAAGGACCTTCAACATAGAACCATCAATATTTCCTCAAAACCAGACCCAGGCCATGATTTTTGGCAGAAATACCACAGAAATGATGCTGAGCTCATTTCAGTGCATTTTATCAGGAGACATACCATAATGACATGCTCTGTCATGGACAATCTTAACCTTAAATGCACAGTCAAGTTGGTTGCTGCCAGTTTTTTTCACTGTAAAGTCACCATTTCCCCCTCTGTATTAGTCTTTCATGGATAGATATTCTAAATTACACCAATATGTGTTCCTCATCATACTCCCACCTATCAGCCAGAGCATCCACTGATACATAATACATATCAACTATCCCTAAGATGGCTGCCAAATGGTAATCATTTGTGTCCATTGTTCCTTCTACATTTGTTAGTTGGCATTCTTTTGTAAGGAAGACTTCCCTTCTCATTTATTTATATTAGTATGCACTCACAGAGTCTAATTTATTCAATGGGTTTTAACTTGAAACTCTTGCTATTTAATTTTGATATTCACACTATCTCAGGTTTACAAGGCCAAAGCTTGCCTTTCAGCCTTCACAGGGTTTCATAGAGCTAGGCGATACATGTATGTGTTAGCACATATATACACATGTATTTTTAATTTATACAACACACACACACATTTAACTTCTTCCATATCTGTGTGTATATTTATGTTTGTGTCACACACTCATGAGTTCATAATAATACTTTTTAAAAAAGATTTTTATTTATTTGAGAGAAGAGCAAGCAGCAGGGAGGAGTAAAGAAAGAAGGACAAGCAGATGCCCCACTCAGCAGGGAGTCCGATGTGTGGCTCAATCCCAGGACCCTGAGATCATGACCTCAACTGAAGCCAGACACTTAACTGACTGAGCCACCCAGGTGTCCCTAATAATATAAATTCCAATCTAAACCTCTCAAGATTCTGTCTAGCTTTCCCTCTTTCCATATTTGTAAATCCCTTCTGAGACAGTGGAGAAATCAGGCTTTTATGATCCACAATATATTTACTTATTGTTTAATCAATGAATTTACTAGTTCAGTGTAACCCATTTCCTAACTCCAGCCACCTCCTCCATGCACCCCGCCATATCCCTTCACCTCATCACTCTGTTTCCTTGCAGGGCACAGCAGCCACTCCCCCCCCCTCCCACACCAGATCTTCTTGGAGCTCAGCATACTACTATCACTGGCCTCCTTTCCTCATTCCTCAGACACTGAATGCTGCCACCTCGGCACAGCACTTCTTCCTATCATTATCCCGCTTCCCTGAAGGGTTTCCATACCAGGAGAAGAGAAGGAGAAAGTGACAGGGAGATGGAAAGTAAAAACAGAAAAGGGAAAGTGGGAACGCTAACCTTTTTTTTTTTTTAAAAGATTTCATTTATTTGACAGAGAGAGAGAGATCACAAGTAGGCAAAGAGGGGGAAGTAGGCTCCCCGCTGAGCAGAGAGCCTGATGCTCGATCACAGGACCCCGAGATTTTAGCCCAACCCACTGAGCCACCCAGGCGCCCTGAACCCTAACCTTTTAAAATAGCATATAATGAGTATACTTTCACTTCTTATTTATTATAGAAATTTACTACTGTATTGTACTATACTGCAGTAATGTCCTTGGGACTTCTTGGGCAGTGTTCAAGTGCTAAGTTTGTAATTGTCAGGCTCATTCTTATTTCTCCTTTTCTATAATTTTTCAATTTCCTCAAACATTTCCTATCCCTTCTCTTTTAAATTATCCCTTCTCTTTTAAATCTCACCTCCAGAGAGGTGAGATGCCAATGTTATTTTAAGGAAGTATTCTACAAATTTCAGTTGAGTAAATTTTCATTTTCATATTGGTTCAAAGAAAAAATTTTTCCCCTTTCTAGAAATATTTCAGCTCTCTAAATTCTTAAAAGCTTTTTTTTTTTTTTTTTTTAAAGATTTTATTTATTTATTTGACAGAGAGAGATCACAAGTAGACAGAGAGGCAGGCAGAGAGAGAGGAGGAAGCAGGCTCCCTGCTGAGCAGAGAGCCCGATGCGGGACTCGATCCCAGAACCCTGAGATCATGACCTGAGCCGAAGGCAGCAGCTTAACCCACTGAGCCACCCAGGCGCCCATCAGCTCTCTAAATTCTTGAGAAGAATTTGAGATTAAACATATTCTGACCCCCTTGTAAAGAGATCAATAGGTACACATTCATTCATTAAATCATTTAACAATATATATTGAGTGCTTACTATCTGATAGGTATTGTTCTAAGCATTTGAGAGTAGCAGTGAATAAGATAAAGTCCCTTACCTCAAGGAACTTTAAGTCTAGTGGGTGGGGACAAACAATAAATATATTAATATTGTTTATAAACAATATTGTTTATAAACTGTTTATAAATGCTTTGAAGAAAAATAAGGCCTGGTAAGGGGAGAATGATATGGAGACATTATTTGAATAGTGTGATCAGAGAGAACTCTAATTTCATTTTTGTTATAAATGATTGACTTCCAACAGACTCTTGAGCAAGGGAAGAGAAGTGGCAACCAACTTATTTCAGGGAAAGAGACAAATTAAGCTGGGGACTTCTAACACTCATGCTTTCCCAGTCTGCTACTTAGGGGATCTGGCTGCTTTTCTCCCTCTAAATGTATTCTCTATAAATAAAGATATGTTGATAAATAAGAAACGGAAATGTTTACATCCTACTTGCTCTAAAAAGAAGATGAATGATTACTTAAAATGTAAATCATGTGTCAGAGGTCAGTTAGTACAACCATCTCACTATAAGGATGAGAAAACTAGGGACACCTGGGTGGCTCAGTCAGTTAAGCCTCTGCCTTTGGCTCCAGTCATGATTCCAGGTTCCTGGGAAAGAGTCCCATATCTGGCTTCTGCTCAGCAGGGAGCCTGCCTGCTTCTCCCTCTCTCTCTGCTGCTGCTCCCACTGCTTGCTCCGTCTCTCTCTCTCTGACAAACAAAATAAAGTCTTAAAAAAAAAGGGATGAGAAAACTAACGAAGCTTCAGAGAGGGGAAGGGACTTGTTTAAGGTCACCCAGGTGCAGAGGCAAACCTAGAATATAAGTTCCTGATTTTTGTCCCTGACGTTTTATATTTACACCATCCTATTTGAAGAGTAAAGGAAAAAACACTTCAATACTATGCTAAAAAAAAAAAAAAAAAAAAGTCTCTATTTCCTACCTGAAAAGGATGTGAAGATAAGAACCAAGGCCAGTTAAAATATGCCACCATGCATGAAACTGTGTGGCAACACCTATGATAGGTGGCACCTTCTTTCGAAAGTTCCTGTGTAAAGAGGGGGGAAAAAAATCACCATTATTACTATTTTTTTAAATATTTAGCAACTACTGCTGACAGCCTTTGAGCATTTTGAAATGTTATTCTCACATATGGCAATTATTTAATTTTCTTAAATCTGCTGTAGTCTGCATATTGTTTTCCAAAGTATATTTTGAGGAACAGTGATCCTACCAGAGTTCCATGAAGAAATGATTCTGTGTTCAAAAAAACCCACAGACAGTAGTATATAGTTTATTGCCCTCCTGGAGACTGCAATGTCTATTAATAGAATGAAGGCTCTGAGAAGTCCTATCAGAACTACACAAGAGTTATTTTCACTTCTTTTCCCTGCCCTACATACAACCTTCATCTTAGATGAGCACCATACAGTCTATAAAGTAATTTTGGTAAATATTATTTCACTTCATAGTGAGTCTTTGAAGTGGCTATTATTAGCTTTGCTTTATAGATGAAGGACCTAAAATTCAGAGACCGAGTTGCCCAAGTCACTCAGCCAAGTGGCACAGCTGAGTCTCAAATTCTACATCTTTTGATTAAAGTGTGTACCATATTAATTTCTCATTTACTGGAAGGAAGGAAAACAATCAATTTAAAACTACTTCTCTAGATATCCCATGACTTTTTGAATCAACTACCATCTCTAAGAACCTACTTCATTTCTTAGTGGCTCTTAACCCAGAGGAGGATGACTTACCTCGGCAGTGTAAGTGCTCTCTCTAATGGGGCTTCTGATGAGTAATAGGGATTCAGAATCACTCATTCAGAACTTAGTTTTCTAAGCAAGGCATATTACTAGTTTGTATACATTTAAAATATATATTTACTTAATGTTTTATTATGGAAAATTTCAAACATGTGCAAAAGTGAGCAAAATTATAATGTATCCATTATCCAGGTTCAACAATTTAAATAACTTAGCAACCACTGAGACCCACATCCACTTCTCCCCTTCCATATTTTGAAGCAAATCCTAGATATTGTATCATTTTAATTCTAAATATTTCAGTATCTGTCTCTAAAGATTAAAAGCTCTTTATAGGGTGCCTGGGTGGTGCAGTTGGTTGAGTGACTGACTCTCAGTTTCTGCTCAGGTCATGATCTCGGGGTCATGAGATCAAGCCCCAAGTAGGGCTTCACACTCAGCATGGTGTCTGCTTGTGATTCTCTCTACCTGTCCCTCTATCCCTTCCACTTGTGTTTGCTCTAATAAATAAATAAATAAATCTTTAAAAAAAAACCCACCTATTTAAAACATAACAGTAATACCATTTTCACATATAAAATATTAACAATAATCTCTTAATATCATGAAATATTCAATTACTGATTAAAGTTCCAATTGTCTCATGAATTTAAAATTTTGTTTTGCAGTTGTTTTGCTTGAATCAAAATTTTAAAAAAATCAACACATTACATTTGGTTGATACATCCTATCTCTTAAGTCTCATATATTTTTATATATTTTCTTTCCTCTTTCTTTTTCTTTCTTCCTTCCTCCCTTCCAGAGAGAGTGCGAATGTGTGCAGGCACACCTGCAGAGGGAGGGGCAGAGGGAGAGAGAGAATCCCAGACTCCACGCTGAACGCAGAGGCTGACACACAGGGCTCCATCTCTCCACCCCGCCATTACGACCTGAGCCAAAATCAAGAGTTGGATACTTAACTGAATGAGCCACTAAGGTGCCCTTAAGTCTCTTTTAATCTCTATGTTCCTTTTTTTTTTTTTTTTTTACCCCCTCTGCAATTTATGCCGAAGAGACCACGTCATTCATCTTGTAGATTTCTCATAGTCTGAATTTTGCTGATTGCCTCTCTCTGGTGCTTTTCAATTTATGTGTTTATGCAAAACTTTTAGGCACAAAATTTTGAGTTGGAAGGACCCATTAGCTTAACCTGTTGAACATGTTCATTTTATGGAAACTGAGGTACAGAAAGATATTTATCTTGGTGACAGACTAAGCCCAGAGACCCAAAATTCAAACTCTAGTCAATACATAATTGCTGACAAGGTGGTAAAGAGAACACTTGCCTTTCTTAGAAAATAACATTAAGTATATTAAAGTACAAAATTATATACATGCATCTTATTTGCTTCTTACAAATCCTTAGTATTTCTTCAACACAGCAGATTAGGCAGATTTCAGAGGCGCAATTAACATCTGATCAACTCTATAATTCTGTGATATATACACACAAAAATCCCTATAGATATTATGAAATAGTCTTAGGTCCAAATTTTTAAGTTAATTAAACAAGTATTCTCAGAATTTAACTTAACAATGGCAAAAATTCATTTCATGGCGCTAGTAATTCTATATGCTTATGAAATTTTCTGCTTAATAAATTGTTCCCAAAAATATATCTTACCTCAGTGAATCACAAAAGATGTTATCTATGTTCCATAATAGAAACCCCATTAAAAATATGCCCAAGGATGTATAACCCAGTCCTCTGAGCCATGGATAAACCCTGTGGGAAAAAAAAGAACAGCAAACTGAAATTTTGCTAAGTCACGTCATGTTCAGAGCTTGAAGCCACTGCTTTCAGGAAAAGGAAAGGTTTTCATTAGTATTAAATGCAAACCTATCTATTAAATTTTCTAATACATTTGCCTATTAGTTAGCCATTAGAAAATGAGGAAGAATATGCCACTAAGACTTTGCTAAGTATTTCACGAAAGTAATCTGAAGGCCCCCAGTAACTTTATCAGTCCCCTGGAAAAAGTAGGTCATGTTGCAACAGAATGAACATTGAGTCACCTGCTCTGCGTCAGGCAGGCACCACAGTCAATTAGACACACAGGCAAATGAATAAAATCTTCAAATAAACCCTGTGAGGCAGGTACTAGTTTTTGCACTTCACCGATAAGAAAACTGAAGCTTAGTGAGTTACCCAAAATAAGAACAGTAGCTTATATATTTTCATAGCTTCAATGACGTGTCACTGACCTACAATTTAACTGACTATATTTCCAGTGTACATTTGATCAGTACATTTGTATATATCCATGAAACACTACAATCAAGATACTAAACATATCCATCATCTCCAAAAGCTAGTCAGAACACTGTATAAATGGAATAACACAATACATCCTCTTCATTGTACGGCTTTTTTCACTTGGCATAATTATTTTAAAACTCATCCATGTTGTTATGTGTATCAATACTTCATTTCCTTTAGTCACTGAGTGGTATTCCATTGTGTGGATATACCACAATTTGTTTATCTGTCCAAATGTTGGTGGACATTAATGTTGTTTCCATTTTTTTCTATAACAAATAAAACAGCTATGAACACTGATAGGTAAGTTTTTGTACGAATGTTTGCTTTCATTTCTATTGGGTAAAAAGGTGAAGAATAGTTGAATTGTACGGCAGGTGAATGTCAAACTTATTAAGGCACTGTTAATCTGTTTTCCTAAGTGACTATATCATTTTACATTTCCACCAGCAGTGTATGAGTTTTTTGTTCTATATCCCCACCAACACTTCATATAACATGGGTAGATTTTTTTCATTTTACTTGTTCCTTGTAGATGTTAGTGGTATCTCAATGTCGTTTTAATTTGCATTTCCCTAATGACTAATGTTATGGAACATCTTCTTGTGCCCTATTTGCCATCCATGTTAATCTTTGTTACCGTTTGTTGAATCTTTGCCTATTTAAAAAAATTGTTTGCCTTCTTATTGAGTTGTAAGAATTCTTTATATATTCTAAACATTAAGTCCTTTGTTGGATATATATTTTGTATTTTCTTCAAATCTGTGATTTGTTTTTCACTTTTTTAATGTCTTTTGAAGAAAAAAATTTATTTTGATAAAGTTCAATTTATCAATTTTTTCATTATAGTTTGTATTTTTTGTATCCTATTTAATAACTTTGCTTAACTAAAGTCTGTCTGCAAAGACTTCTATAATTTCTTCTAGAAGTTTTATAATTTTAGCTTTTACATTTAGGGATATGATTCAATTCTAGTAATTTTTGTAATGGCATTAACTTTTGTAATGGCAGGAGTTTAAGTTCATTTTTAAAATAAGAATACCCAGTTGTTTCAGGACAATTTATTGAAAAGATTATCTTTTTTTTTTTTTAATTTTATTTATTTATTCGACAGAGAGAGATCACACGTAGGCAGAGAGGCAGGCAGAGAGAGAGAGAGGAGGAAGCAGGCTCCCCCCCAAGGAGAGAGCCCGATTCGGGGCTCGATCCCAGGATCCTGGGATCATGACCTGAGCCAAAGGCAGAGGCTTTAACCCTCTGAGCCACCCAGGTGCCCCTTGAAAAGATTATCTTTTCCCCCACAGAGTTACCTTTGAATGTTTACTTAACATCAGGTCAATATGGATGAATAATCTACTTGCGGATGTTTTACTGATCTGTATTTCATTTTTACCACCAATACCACATTGTCTTGATCAGTGTACCACAGACTAAATTAAGGAGTGTTAAGTCCTCTAATTTTGTCATTCTTTTTTTTTTTTTTTTTTAGATTTTATTTATTCATTTGAGAGAGAGCGCACGTGAGAGCATGAGGATAGGAAGGAGTGAGAGAAGCAGACTCCCCACTTAGCAGGGAGCCCAATGTGGGACTGGATCCCACAATCCCGGGACCATAACCTGAGCCGAAGGCAGATGCCTAACCAATGGCGCCACCAGGCGCCCATGTCATATATATATATATTTTTAACTGCTTTGGTTCTTCTAGATCCTTTTTATTCCCTTATAAATTTCAGAATCAGTTTCTCAATTTTTACCAAAAAGCCTGCAGAGATCTTGATTGTGATTGCATTAAACTTACAGATCAGTTGGGGAGAACTGACATCTTAACAATATTGAGGTTTCTAATCCATGAAAATGGCCCACCTATCCGTTTGTTTAGGTCTTCTTAAATTTCCCTCGGCAAAAAACTGTTTGTTGTAGTTTCCCATATGCAGGTCCTACATACAGTTACTAAATTTTAATCTTTAAACATCTGATGTATTTTGGTGCTACTGGAAACTGTACTTTTGAAATTTCTCTTTTCAATTATTTGCTGCTAGTATACAGAAATATGAATTTTGAATATTCATTTGAATTTCATGACCTTGCTGAATTCCAACTTATTACTCCTAGGAGTTTTTTGGTACATGTCCTATGACATTTTCTGTACATGATCATGTGATCTGCAAATACTATTATTGGACAAGCCTTCAATAGAAGGCTTGAATAGAAGTGGTGATAATACATATTCTTGTTTTATTCTTCATTTTAAAGATAATTTTTTTTAAAAAACACTTTATTACTACATGTGTTAGATGTTGTAGAGTTTACAGGTTAAGAAAGTTCCCTTCTATTACTAATTTGTAAAGGGTTTTATTCTGTCTTTAGTTTATAAATAGCTATTGAACTTTACAGAATACTCTTTCTAAATCTGCTATCTTCATGTACTTTTTCTCCTTTTTTTTAAAGTATGGTGAACGACAAGAATAGATTTTCTCAAATATTTTCTTATTTTTACCTGTTAGTATTTGTATATAAATGAATGAAAAAGGGTAATCTAAAAACCATCAGGAAAGCACAAACCTGGCTGTGCAGAGGAAAAGCATTATTGCCACTGTTTGATGAAGGTTCTCAGAAGATTAGGTTAAGAGAGTCACAGTCTATCTTCAGCTTTTCAGAGTGTATCATAACCCCATTTAGGGGAGGCAAGAATGAGTCCCAGGAAACACAGGGCTCAACAAAGTGAAGGCATCTGGCAGGGTTGCAGTGTGGGCCAGATACTGAGATGTGACAAAATATGATCAACGGGAGTAGGGTACTCTCTATTTTCTGCTTCTAAGCTTACTTACCAGGGCCAATCTTCAGCTCTCAGCGGTAGTTCAAAGCAAAATTCTTCTGTGGGGTGAAATGAATGTCTTTGGTTATCCAGGCAGCAGGGTACAGAGGAGAGAGCAAGAATTTCATCAGCACATGGTCCCTACAAGCTAAGTACAGATAAGATTCTGGGGACAGACTACCCATTATTATCAGGTATGAGAATGGGTAATACAGAAGGCCCTCAACACATATGGGTCTGGTGTAACACCGCTTCACTCTGAACTACCTTCCTCACTAGTGTATAGCTGAGAAATTCCTTCCCTTCCGCTTCACCCTGAGAATTGCCTTTACCTCTCTCAGCGTTGGATTTCCTGTGTCCTGTTATCTCATGTCTTCCTCTTTTTCTGTTTACTCTCTCATTATACATCCTTCAGTAGGTTTCCATAATAGTTTACGGGCTATAAGGTGTTTTTTTGAGAACTCAAATATATGAGCTGGTAGTCTGGTTGGCTGCAGGATTCTAAGTTAGAATTCTAGAATTCTAGCTGCCAGTTTTGTTTTGACAAGCCCCAAACCATTCTGATCTCTGATCCTTCATATGTATATCTGCCTTCTAACTCTACAAACTTGTGGAATCTTCCTTGTCAAGAATTCTGAAACTGGCATGGGTCTATTTCTACCCATTGTGTTGAATAGCCAGTGGTTGTTTCAATGTGATAATTCATGTCTTTCAATTGCAGGGTGTTTTAAGTAATTTTAGTAACGATTCCTTCCCTTCCATTTTATCTGCACTGTCTTTGCATCTGGCCTAGTAATATTTCTATTGAGTCTCTTCTCCATTTCTTTCTCATCATCCTGATGGCACCCAGGTGTGTGTGTGTATGTGTGTGTGTGTGTGTGTGTGTGTGTGTTTGTTTGCTTCTGTCTTTTCTGCTGTGAAGCCCACAGACATGAGGAAACACTTCACTGTTTCTCCACAGCAGTGGTGATGAGTGGGCCCAAGGGTCCTGAGGCCTTGTGCTCTTATTTACTCTGGACCACACCATGGGTTTCGTGCCTTTCCTGTGGTAGATTCTTACTGGTGGATGGGGGATGATGGACCATAATGCAATTACAATATATGTTCAGGAGAAGGAATTCCAGTGACTTCTTCAACTGTACCTTTCAAACCATTCACTTCAATGTTCAGTTTTACCATATTTTTAGTATCTTTGGTGGGGGGGGATTCTCTGAATGCTCCTTTTTAAATCTTGCATCTTACTCTTGATTTTATAGATATTGTGTATTTCTAGAAACATGAATGGATTAATGGTATTTGTTGTTTTGTTATATTTGAAGTTTTCTCCTTCATGCATAAGTTGTTTCTTCTAAGTTGATTCCCTCCCCCACACCCCCACCCCTTATTTGTTTTGGCCTCTGTCTTTCATACTGGATGCATTCCTTTTGTCTGGCACTGTCTCCTCATTCTTAAGAATGGGAAACTAAAAAGGTGACCACAAACTCTAAGCATGTGGTTGAGGCCCTTAGAGTAGTAACCTTTACCGTAGGGTTACTTTGCTGGGCCAATTGTTAGGGAACCCCCAAATCAGTATCTTTAGGTCTTTTAAGGCTTCTCATATTCCCTAAAAGAAGATCCTCTCAATTCTCTGCTTAGAGGTTTTTACATTCAA